TTACACCCTTGCCTCATTGTCTTTTTCCTGAGTGCCAATGGCAAAGTTATACATACTTGGGATTGAATAAAGATTTGGTGCCTATTTGGTATCACTAAGAGAGCTCTCTGAAGAACTGAGATGTTTGTGTTTTATTTTATTTTATTTTGAGTTGGAGTCTTACTCTGTTGCCCAGACTGGAGTGCAGTGGCCGCTCCCAGCCACCACAGCTTCGACCTGCTGGGCTCCGGCGATCCTACCGCCTCAGCCTTCCAAGTAGCTGGAACTTCAGGGGCACGCTACCACGCCCGGCTAATTTTTTGATTTTTGTTGTAGAGTTGAGGTCTCACCAAGTTGCCCAGGTGGGTCTTGAACCCGCGGGCTCAGGCAATCCACTCACCTTGGCCTCCCAAAGCGCGGGATTACAGGCTGAGCCACCAAGCGAGATGTTAAGTTTTAAAATCTGGTTTCGTTCCTGTTCAGTGCCTGCAGGACCCAGTGCCTTCTGGGCTCAGTTCCCAGGTTCAAGCCATGATTTATTTCCTTCCCCATGCCAACATTTAGCTGCATCTCTGGATAGGATATTAGATGGCTTTTATCTTTGTACTTTAGTTGATTTTATTTACTGCAATAGGCATGCATTATTGATATTACCAGAAAAAAGGTGAAAGCTATTTTATTGTAAAAAGAGAACAAAACTTATTTCTTGTTCAGTTCCTTCAGGTTTCAGTTGGAGATAGACTAAAGCAGATTAAATATTAACCTAAGTAAAGCTTCTCACTCCTTCTCCAGGATGCATTTTCTTATCTCAGTCAGCATTGACTCCAGCCACCAAGCCTAAGTCATAAACCCTGGGTAAATCCTTAACCCCAGCCCCCATCCAAACACAATCTAATTCTGTCACTTGTCCCTTTAAATATCTCTCAAATATGCCTCTTTCTTTCTATCCACTTGAACTGACTTAGTTTAGGCCTTTACCATCATCTCTCACCTGTATTACCACATCATCCTTCTAATTGATCTCTCCACCCCCAGTTGCACCTCCCTCCCTCCCTAAGTCATGACTCCCCCCTTCCACCCACTTAACATCCTTCACTGGCTCCCCACTGTCTATGAGCGTATGAATCAGAATGTCTCAGCATGGCTTATGAACTCTGACACCAGCTTTACCTCTTGTCCCTTTAACAATATTCAATATCTGCTTGTTTCCTAAATGGTTCAGTTCTTCATTGCCTTGTGACCTTTCAACTTCATTTTTCCTTGGAATGTCCTTCCTCCCTTCCCTGACAACTAAACTCCTCCTACTGGTTCAGAAAACTGTGCTCAGTTAGTCTTCCTCCATTGTCCCTTCCCTCTCCTCTAGTAGCCAGCTTTGATAATTATTCCATCTGCTTCCACTGTATTCAGAAGAAAGCAACATCAACAAATAATAACTGTTAGCCAGGTGCAGTGGCTCACAACTGGAATCCTAGCTATCTAGAGGCTGAGGCAGAAGGATTGCTTAAGACCAGGAGTTCGAGGCTGAAGTGAGTTATGATTGTGCCATTGCACTCCAGCCTGGGCATCAGAGCAAGAAACCCACCTCTAAAGAACAAATAAAAGGCTGGGCGTGGTGGCTCAAGCCTATAATTCCAGCACTTTGGGAGGCCGAGTTGAGGGGATTGCCTGAGCCGATGGGTTCGAGAACAGCCTGGGCATCTTGGTGAGACTTCATCTCTACAATAAAAATCAAAAAATTATTCGGGTGTGGTAGCATGCTCCTGTAGTTCCAACTACTTGGAAGACTGAGGCGGAAGGGTTGCCTGTGCCTAGCATCCCTCCTGTTGCTTACCTAGGAATCATCTAGTTTGCTACCTTTCTTCACACCTTCACCTCAGGAAAATCTCCTGAAACCTTTCAACTTCTATTTCCGTAGAACCACCCTAATCCACATACCACCATCCCCATGCTGTCCTCTGGCTTCTCCTTGTTCTATTTCTGCTCCATTCAAGTCATTCTCTATAAAATAGGTTGCTTAAAAAACTCCTCAAGTTCTTTACTATTATCTTTCTTTGCACTTTACATCCAGACAACATGATTAGCTTCCTGTTTAATGCTTCAGCCTCACTCACTGTGCTGAAGCCTCCTTGCCTTCTGTTCCTCAAGCAGCCAAGCTTGTTCAGTAACAGGGTCTTCACACCCATTGTCCTGTGTCTAGAATGTTTCTCTTCCCTAAGTTTGGCCTGGCTGGCTCCTTCTCCTGATTTAGGTTTTAGTTCAGATCACCTCCTCAGAAAGTCTTTTGCTGACCACTCTGTTTTGTTTTCTTTTCAACATTTACCACTACTTGTAATTATCTTACATACTTTTTTTTTTTTTTTTTTGAGTTGAAGTCTCACTCTGTCGCCCAGACTGGAGTGCAGTGGCCGCTCCCGGCCACCACAGCCTCGACCTGCTGAGCTCTGGCAGTCCTTCCGCTCAGCCTTCCAAGTACCACGCCCAGCTAATTTGTCCAGGTGGGTCCAAAGCGCAGGATTACAGGCTGACCCATCGAGCCCAGCATATACTTGTTTTATTATTTATTTTCTCCTCTAGAAACATAAACTTCTAACTGCAGGTGTTTCTTTTATTTACTGCTGTGTCTTTAGCACCAAGAACACACTGTCTGTCTATCTATCTAATTTTGAGTCAGGGTCTCACTCTGTCGCCCAGGCATGTGGTGACATGATCATGGCTCATCGCACCCTCAACCTCCTGCGTCAGGCAATCCTCTGCCTCAGCTTTTCTTTTTCTTTTTTCTTTTTGAGTTGGAGTCTCACTCTGTCGCCCAGACTGGAGTGCAGTGGCCGCTCCCGGCCACCGCAGCCTCGACCTGCTGGGCTCCGGCGATCCTTCCTCCTCAGCCTTCCAAGTAGTTGGAATTACAGGCGCGCACTACCATGTCCGGCTAATTTTTGATTTATTGTAGAGATGAGGACTTGCCAAGTTGCCCACGTGGGTCTCGAACCCGTGGGCTCAGGCAATCCACTCACCTCAGCCTCCTAAATCGCGGGATTACGGGCTGAGCCACCGAGCCCGGCAAAGCAAGGAAGAACCTGGAACAGGGCGGCGCTCCTCAGGCGGTCTCCCATCCAAGCGCTGAACGGCAGCAACCCTGCTTAGCTTCGCAGTCCCTGGCGGACCCGCAGCTGGTGCACCATGAAGGGCCCTGGTTGCCTCAGTTTTTCAAGTAGCTGGGACTACAGGTGCACGCCACCATGCCTGGCTAATTTTCTGATTTTTTTTCTAGAGGTGTGGTCTCACTAGTTGCCTAGGATGGTCTCGAACTCCTGGGCTCAAATATTCCTCCCACCTCATCCTCCGAAAGTGCTGGGATTACATGTGTGAGCCACCATGCCTGGCCTATGTTGAATGAAGAAATGAAACAATGAAAAGCAAGAGCCTTCTTGATGTGTCTATAAGGTGACCAGCAGAGTCTCACCAGAAATGAATCTCTGTGTTCTCATTGCCCTTTAACTGGCCAGAGTGGAGAGAGGAAACACAAAACCAGCTGGGATCTACCAGACCCTGTCACCAACCAGTTGGCAGAAGCAGCAATCAAAATTGTAGGAGAATCAAAACTGGGCAGGTCTGCCAATGACAGCCAGTACTGAACACAACCGAATGCTGAGGCTGGTTTTGTTTTGGGGTGAACAGGGCAGCCTACTCTGGGTGGCTGGTAGAACTTGTACACATCCACTTTATTAAAAGGTCCACAGTCAGAGCGGTGTCTCAAGCCTATAATCCCAGCGTTTTGGGAGGTCGAGGTGAGGGGATTGCCGGAGCCCATGGGTTCAAGAACAGCCTGGGCAACTTGGTGAGACCTCATCTCTACAATAAAAATAAAAAACTTAGCAGGGCGTGGTAGCCCGCGCCTGTAGTTCCGGCTACTTGGAAGGCTGAGGGGTAAGGATAGCCTGATCCCAGCATGTGGATGCTGGGGTGACTGTAAGCGTGCCACTGCACTCCAACAAAAAAAAAAAAAGTCCACAGAGGGTAATCAGTTCAGGTAAACCTGACCCATTTGCTCAGGGCTGGAGTGGCTTTCCCAACCTGTTTGGTGCAGAGATTCAGTGATCAGCCATACCAAGTTAGCTGACACTTGTTTGTTGACTGTGTATGGGACTCTTCAGTCTCTGTTCCTCTGATCATTCCCTCCTCGCCTACCTTTACCCTCAATTCACCTACACCTTTGCCTCCCCGAATTCTAGGCGATTAACTATTGTACCCAATCTATGTCCTAAATCTCCCTGCCTAATTTTTCCTTTCATTATAAGTCCCAAGGACCCTTTCAAAATTACTTAATTGTCACGTTATTTTCGTGTGTTTACTTCTGTCTCCCTATGTAGTTCACATGCTACTAAAGGACACAGAGAAGTATGGTGTACACAAAGCATAAAGCATTCCATGACAAGGACATGAGTCTTCTTGCTGTGCATACAAGCCAGGGATTTTAGCTTCTGGCTATTAGTTCTATTTTGCTCCTAGATGGTCTGTTCCAACTGCAATGATCCACCGTTCCAGACGCGGCTTTTGTGAGTGTGCAGAAGAGCCAGCCTCCTCAGTTCCATGCTACAACGCGGGGTGCCTTTTGGGACGTGCAGGAAGTTGTCGTGGACCCGTTTCTCCTGCACATTCTATCGCTGGAGCGGAAATGCAAAGCAAGACCTTGCCGCGGGTGTCACGATCTGCCGGTGCGAACCTCCCCTTGCAGGTCGCCGGGGCTAGCTGAGAGGTCTGGCGTCCGGGACCCGCGCGCCAGGGAAGGGGCGGGGCCGGGTGGGCGGTGGGCGGGGCCTTGCCGCCGCCGAGTCAACCAATAAAAGGCGGCGGCGCCGGGCGTGCGCGTGACGCAGCGGAGCCCGGAGGCTGGGGGCGGGGGGCACGGCGGTGGTGAGCTTTATCTGTCTGGGGCCGGGCGGGTGGCGTTGCGGGCCCTGGGCGCCCAGGGAGCTTGGCGGAGGTGACCGTGCCCCCCCCCCGGCCGCGTTGTGACGGCTCGTCGGCTCTGAGTTCTTGGCCGAGGTCCCCGCAGCTGGCGTCGGGCTCCAGGTAACGGCCATGCTCCCGCTGCCCCCTCCTTCCCGCCCAGGTCTCTCCGCCTCAGCCCGAGGGGAAGGGGAAGGCGGTGGCGGCCGCACTCCGGCCCGACGGGCCTGGCTTCGGCCGCGGGGGAAGCGGCTTGGGGCCGGCCGGGCAGGGGATGCCGCGCGGGTCCCGGGGAATTGGGGAGGGGAGGGCGGGGCAGTTGCCGCCGGACGCCGGGGTTCCTGGCGCCTGGTAGACCTTGGGCGCTTGTGTGATGCTCCCCAAGTCTCGTGGCATCCCTCAAGCCGGCAGTCACGAAAGTTACGAATTAGAAGGCGTTTTGTCTTTGAAAAGCGAAACAAAAAAATGCACTCAGGAAGTCAGCTTTTTCATAATTTAGGGGAAAAAGGTGTGGAAGGGAAGGGTGGCGTTAACAAGACATGAAAATCTGGGCATCGACATCTTTAATCAAGCTCATGTCTTATTTTAAAATCTTGGGATGTAGTTAAATTTCTGTCGTTGTCCATACGTGTTAAAAGACACGTGATTTAAATGACATGTATACTTGGAGTTATTTCTAAGTGAGAAACAACTACAAACTCTATTCTCTCTAGATTAAGTTCATTTTTAAGTGGCTGTCACCTATTAACACTTTTCCCCCTAGAGTACTTAGTTTCCTCTTCCTTAAAGTTGAATAATGATTTGAAACATTTTTTTCTTTTTTTGATTTTTTTTTTTTGAAAAAGTTGGGCGGTATCGGTGAATGACTTGTTAAGAAAGTCAGTGTGTTGTCGAGGCTTGAGAATGGGTTTTGGAAGGAGCTCTGATGCGTAGAAGAGTAATCATTTAGCAATGCACGTGTCTCAGTGCATCACGTGCTTAGAACCCGTCAGAGGTTTCACATTCTCTTCCGATAAAGACCGAAATACTGAATGAGCCCACTCTTCCTGTCTCCTGCTCATTTGGGTCACTTTCCTACTGGCTTTCCAGGCTCAAGCCACACTGGCATTTTATTTTTCTTCCTGGAAAGCCTTATTCTCTTTCATATCTCCTAACCTTTATGGATTTCATCCGCCTCTGATGCTCTATACCCTCCCCCCAGTTCATATACAAGCCTCAAATATCAACCACTTTCTCAGGAATTCACCCCCTCCCAGTTAAGGCTTTCTAGCACTGTATTTTTCAGTTAGTTATCAATTGTAATGAATTGTGTTAGTTAATCAGATGATTTAATTTTTTACTAGTAAATTTCACAAGGGCTAAGCTAATCTGGCTAGGAGGTTAATTCTCAGAGTCTGGCCCGATGAAAAAAATGAATGAATTGGAGGACAGAGGAAGGAACTTTTGAATAAGAAATACATAGTCCCCTTCTCTCCTTAGTTTCACTTTCTGTATTTTCAGCTACCTGAGGTCTGAAACAGTTCAATAAGATATTTTGAGAGAGAGATCATATTCACCTAACTTTTATTACAGTATATTATATTTTATTAGTTATTGTTGTTAATTTCTTACTCTGCCTAATTTATAAATTAAACTTTATCAAGGTATATATGGGAGAAGAGATGTATAGGGTTTGGTACTGTCCATGGTTCCAGACATCCACTGGAGTCTTGGAATGGATCCCCTGTGGATATGAGAGAATACTGTATTTACTAGGGGAGAGTGTCTTTTTTCTATGGGAAAGAAGTGGACAAAGTTTTTAACAAAGGCCTTTCAAGCTCATTTGCCTGAGAGGAGACCTTCATTTTGGAATTTGCCACACTGGATAACAGATTATACTAAACATACAGATGTAAATGAGAATTTGTCCATGTTCTTCCGTTTTGTTAATTAATGACTCAGTTCTGTGATATGTGAAAGTTGTAGGATCATATTAGGGCAAATCTTTGTTTGGAAGGAAGAGGGGAAAATTGTATGCTTTGGATTGTAAATTTTGTTCACAGTTTTTTCTTTTCCCCCACTGAACCTAAGGTTGATGTAGCAAAGTCCTTCATCTGAAGTAGGCACTTTAATTTGTGACATAGATTTATAGGCCCTTTTGAAAGCTTTATCAATAGGAACACTGCAGGCAGGCTAAAGTTGACACTTCTTTCCAACTTGTTTCATTTGTTTGTCAAACCAATTCTTTTTGCTTTGCTTTCTTAAGGCAAGCCAGATACTTACTATACTAAACATTACATAACTGCATACACAGATTAGAGTCTTAAATTATTGTTCAGTTGGTGTGTTGTATTTTTAAATAGCTATCTAGTCAGCTTTATGTCACCTGGAGGGGGGAATATTTCTACTGCCACTTACTGACTGTGTGACTTTGAACAAGTTTGTTAACATTTCTGAATCTCCTGCATCTAAAAAACATAGAAATGCTAAATAAGATATGTGTTGCACCCACTGCACTCAGCACTGTAAATGTTACTGGCTTAGTAAACATAGTTTTTTCTCTGCTGGACCTCTTGAGAGACTAGTCTTATGATCACGGTTTTTACTTCCTCAATTTATTTTGCAACCTACTCCAATATATTTCTTTATCCTTCTTCCTGAAACTAACTGTACATAAGTCATAAATATTAATGTTCCCAAATTGTGAAATACCCCACATCCCACTCTTCCCTTTTTTTCCCCATTTCGTTTTTGTTCTACTTGAACATAGATTACCTCTTAAACCCTCTAACTTGATTTCCAACATTGCTTGTGCCTGGTTCTCCTCTGATCTCTCTTAGGCCTTGCTTTTTTATTATTCTTTCACTGGCAATTGCTGATGTGAATTATGTCATTCCAAATTCTGTTCCTGATTGCTTCTGTTGTGAATTTACCTCATCGTGGAAGACTGTCTTTTCAGGTTTATAATCCAAATAAAAATACAAAGTATGGATTGCTAGTCACAGTGGTGTCTGAGGCAAATAGTGGATATGTCTGTATTGTGAAAAAGGTGACAATTTAAAAAAGACCATTTCACTTGTGCTTAATGACAAAAGTTTGCGGCAGCCATCTTCATATTTTTCTTTTCACCTGCTCTCAGTATTAGGAAAGTGAAAAATTTGCTGGTCATGAATGGTTAAGTGCCACATAATATTGGGGAAATAACCATCTGTAAAATGGGATGATAATATCTACTATGAACCATAGTAAGTGCTACCTAAATGTTAGATTTATTGTTTCCTAGGTAGTTTTACCTGGGAGACTGACTTCAGGTACCCATGGCCTTAGCTGCCACTGTACACTGATGAATTCCAGATTTCTGTTTTCAGCCTAGACTTGTATATTAAGCTATCACTTAGCTAACCCACAGGCACGTCATATTGAATTTTTCTACTCATTCTCTTCCAACTAAAATGCACTTAGGAAATCAACTTTTTCATAATTTAAGAAAAAAGTGTTGAAGGGAAGGGTGGCATTAACAAGACATGAAAATCTGGGCACCAGCATCTTTAATCAAGCTCATGTCTTATTTTAAAATCTTAGGATGTAGTTAAGTTTCTGTCATCCATAAGTACTAAAAGACACGTGATTTAAATGACTTGTATACTTGGAGTTATTTCTAAGTGAGAAATTGCTTGGTGATAATGGCACACCTATAGGCTATAGCCTTAGTAGTTAGGAAACTCACCTTGGTGATTTGTGTTGTTTTCTGCATATAGCCAGCTGGACATTTCAGACTTCTTAGCTTAATGTTTATAAAGTTATCTCATTTTCCTATCTCTTTCTTTCTTTTTTGAATCAGAGTCTCACTTTGTCGCCCAGGCTGGAGTGAAGTGGCACGCTCACGGCCATTGCAGCCTCGACCTATTGGGCTCAGGAGATCTTTCACTTCAGCCCCTAAGCCTTACAAGTAGCTGGAACTACAGGCATGCACCACCATGCCCAGCTAATTTTTTTGATTTATTGTAGGGATGAGGTTTCCTGAGTTGCCCAGGCTAGTCTTGAACCGTTGGCTCAGGCAGTCCTCTCACCTCTGCCTCCCAAATGCTGGGATTACAGGGATGAGCCACCATGCCCAGCTTATCTTTTCCCTTTCATTAATTGATTCATTTAATAAACATGTCATTTGGGCCTTACTTCAGACCTTTATCATTTTTGTGTGTGACATTGTTCTCCCACCAGTCTCCTTTCCCTAGCACATCCTCCCCGTTGTTTCCTGAGGAGTTATCTTCCAAAAACAAATATCAGTTCACCCTCATTTAAAAATTTTAGTTCCTTGTTTATGTGGTAAGTTTCAAACTCCTTAGAGTGGCCTCTAAGGGCCCTTGACCTTTTGCCCTTGACCTTTCATATACCTTGTGCTCTAGCCTATTCCTTCTCTTTCTTTAAGCTTTATCTAAATTTTAGCTTCTTCAAGAAACTTTTCCTACTTGCCCCAATCTCTCTTGGGCACCAGGCTTGTGTTCCCTTCATATGTCTTAATAACTGCTCTGAATACTATTAGGTGTTATAATTATGTTTTTGTGTCTTTCTCCCACTAGGTTTTCACTTCTTGGGAATACAGATTGTTATAGTCATCTTTGTATTCCCAAGGTCTAGCATAGAGTAGATCTCAAAAATATGTTTGAATTAATGAATCTATCACCATAGATAGAATCTAGCTAGTCTTTTTCATATGTTCTTTTTTTGTGTGTGTGTGTTTTTGTTTTTTTTGAGTTGGAGTTTCACTCGGTCGCCCTGACTGGAGTGCAGTGGCCGCTCCTGGCCACCGCAGCCTCGCCTGCTGGGCTCCAGCGATCCTTCCGTCTCAGCCTTCCGAGTAGCCAGAATTACAGGCGCACGCTACCACGCCCGGCTAATTTTTTGATTTATTGTAGAGATGAGGTCTCGCTGCCCAGGCAGGTCTCGAACCTGCGGGCTCAGGCAATCCACTCACCTCAGCCTCCCAAAGGCGCGGGATTACAGGCTGAGCCACCAAGCCCGGCTTCATATGTTCTTATTTTTGAGTTGCAGTCTCACTCTGTCTCACTAGGCTGGAAGGCAATGGCACGCTCACAGCCACTGCCGCCTTGACTTGCTGGGCTCCAGCGATCCTTAGGCCTCAA